GGGAAAGAACATCAAAAAGACAAAGAATGATTCTACAAACTGTGTCTGTGTGAATAAAAGAAAACAGAAGCTTGTTGGAGAACAGAGTGTACCAGAGTGAGGCTACCATTGTAGAAAGTTTGTTGCCCACAAGCTTAACTGAGACATCTGTGTGCTCAAATCTTAATTGGTATTAGTCACAATTTAAATCTTTATGGTTTTAATATTTAGCTTTATGCTTAGCTCAGCCCTAGAGTTCATTACTATCATAGATAAGTCTACTATAACCATCAATATAGAGAATTTTCTGAATGGTTCTTCAAATTGAGTTTCTAGCTCTGACCCTGAGGACCACTGAGAAGTTCATCCTGTGATATGTGGGCAGGCATTTATCTGTTCTTAAGGAGTTCTTCAGACATTCAGTGTTACTCAAAACTCAAAGCATTATTTTTTTATTTATAAAGCAGAAATTTGTTTGTGTTCACCTGTTGGAAGGATTACATCTTAACTTGTGTCAAAACTGAGGCTTGTGGAAGAACATGTCTTAAAATTGTTGGGCTACTGTTAGGCAATTTACTATCCATGAACAAACAGCAGCTTTGAAATTTCTTCATTGATAAGAGTATTGATGTCTGCATTAGTCTGTGCCTGAGGAAGTGTGGGTATATGCTTTTCTATTGCTTCTCAGCAAAAAATGTACATGTTTGATCAGATATGCTAGGGAAGACTTATCATGTTTGTAGGTATGGGTACACATAAAACCCAGTGAATTGTAACTGGGTTGTGTCTGATTGTTACTGTGTAGGTCACACTACATTTGGAGAGATGACAGGTTTGCTTTCTCATTAGTACCATTCCTCTGAATAATCCAGTTTACCATGAAAAAAACCACATGATCAATCTCAAAGCGTTCTGAAGGTTCCAAGAATTTGAAACGACTTCCCCCATTCAAAGAACACCAGCTGTGCTTCAGTATTCTGAAAAATCTGGGTTTTGTAATGAAAGCCTATATTGTCACCCGAAGAAAACCAATTATTTGAAGCTTGCACATAAACTCAGTTTTCCCCTCACAAAATGAGAATTGTAGTACCCTGAGCCACAGGAAGGCAAGGTGGCTTTCAAAGAGAAATTATTTTTGAAAGAAACCAAGTAACCATGTGAGTTCTGTGCTTCACTGAATTGCTAAACATTTTAAAATGAAATCCTTGTGATAATTATTGGAGGCTTGAATAAAACATAAAAGGTACTCAAACAACCCTATTCACAAAGAACAAACAGCAGTAAAACCTGTATTTTTAGCCGAACATGTCTATAAATCAATAGGTTCCTTTCCCTCTGAAAACAAATCCCAACTTCAAAACATAGCTCTTTGAAACTGGATTATCTACTGTATCTTTATGGATGGCTCTGTTCAATTATAGACAAGGCCTATGTTTTATAGAAATATGATTTTATTAATCATGTCAGTGAAAGCACTTGAAAAACACAAGACACTAACTGTATTGTTATCTGAATTGATATCATCTTTACCAGTGATACAGGAAGAAGCAAAGTACGTCTTCCCTGTGAGGTCAATGGGGTTTCAGGTTTGAACTCTCTCTACAGTGTTTACCTCAAAGAGGCACTAATGGCAGTCTTGTACTTCACTATTTCTGTTTTGCTGGACTGGGAAAGATGAGGGAGGACCTCGGAGGACAAGAGAATGATATTCCTTTAAGAACCAGCCTAATCTCTGAGCCAAGAAAGGCTTCACAAACCTTTCTGAAGAACATCTGGGGGCTATGTTTGGTAAGAATCCAGTAAAGTCTTTCCCCTGCCCAACTGCTGGGCAGCAATCTCCACATCACTTTTATGAGTGGTCCTGCTTTCAAGGTTTATCTCTGTATGACAAGGTAAAGTACCAGAGGCTTTTTCTACCTTTTCTCTCCTCAGTCAGTTCAATAATGGTGTTTCTGTGGGAGGAAGAGGTAATAAAGCATCATTTGGGAGGATGTGAATTTACAACTCCCACACACTGTAGTTACACCAAATACTACAGTTCTGCTTCCACCTGGTTTGGGGGAACACATCGCAAGGATTAAAGCATGAACAAGAACAGATCTCTGAATCATAGAATCATAGAATGATTATGGTTGGAAAGGACCTTAAGATCATCTAAGATTTCCTTTCAGCTGATTTTCAGCTAGTTTTGCTTTGCTCTGACATCACAATTAAGTAAAGAAATTACCAGTAGAAGTCATGTACCTCAGCATATATTGATTTTTAATTTTAATAAACGGTGACTGGCAGAATGATGGATTTTATGGGAAGTTCATCCCAGTTTCTTGTGAACATAGTTGAATTGGAGGATTTGATGCTGGCACAGTTATACCTAAAAATGATGGAAAACATTTTCCACATCTTCTGTGCTGTAAATAATTGTTCTAGGGAAAGCAGGTTGTACTTGCTGCTCTCAGAGAGAAAATGATTAGTGTTTCTAAATAAAAGCCCAACAAATCCCAGCCAACAGAAGGAGCTTCACAGAAAAATTGCCTGAGTTGTTGAACATTGTGAATCTCACTGGTCAATGATGATAAACAGAGTTTTGGTAATACCAAATATACCTCTATATGTATGGGTTTGGTTTGCTGTTTTGTTTTGTTTTTTTAAATAAAACCAGCTTTTTCCTCTTGTATCCAGGGGAAACACCAAGGAAACTGCAGTGAACTAGAATTTTGGATGAGGGTGAAGTGATTCAGCCTGACACTGCCCCCTGCAGACTGATTCACCCCTAATGCCACTGCTAGTCTCTGCAGGTGGCTTATCCAAAATGACAGCCCCAAAATAAAGGGAGATCATAATAGTCTTTCTAATTAGAGCACAGGGAAACTAGAAAGAAATCTGACTGCAGCAGACTCAAACGAAATTCTTCCTTGTGCACTTTGAAATAAAGTTAGACATGGAGAAAGCATTAAACCCCCCCAAGCAAATAAGCGTAGTTAAATAACATTTGCAATAGTAGATGACAACGTCCTCTATTTTAGAACATGATGGATGTCAGTGAAAAGAAAATAAACCATGTCCAAATTAAAATAATAACATTGGGCTAATTGCTCTATGGCAATATTCCCATCCACCTCAAAATCAAATATGAGTACAGGAATTGGACGATGAATGCTCTATTTGCTCTCTTTGTTGGCAAAGACTCAAACAATAACTGCAATTCATATGTGTCTTGAGTGTTTTCTCAGTCATTGAAACATATTGCAGGTAGAAATGCCCTAAATATTGTACATTTAACAGTACAGGTGACCTGATTATTAGACCCACTTGCTACAAGGTATCCATATGTGATCTTTTGACCTCTTTGACTTGCCTCAGTAGGAAGTTATCACTGGTCTTCAAGAGCAGGAGTGAGTACGGACTGCTATGCCTCTGACCATTGTAGTCAGTGGTGTTATGAAAAAAACCCAAAGGAGTTGCTTTGAGTTTTATTTTAAGTCACATCCTCAGGTAGGGGCCTTCCTGTGGTGCTTGACTGATCTTTGGCTGTGGAAAATAGGCCACCAGACCTTCAGTCATATAAATAGGAGAGTGGATTTTTTTTTTTTTTGTTTTTTTTTTTTTTGGTTAGACAAAGCAGTCTCTCTGAAGGGAGATTTATAGTGAACAATTAAGTGAACAGGACTTGGGCTGTGCTGCCTAGTCAGGGAGTCTAATTAGATGTAGGAACAGGAGTGCTGAATGTAAGCCAAGTGATAACAACATTGTGGTGTTTGACACAGGGGTGGTAGCTCCCGAATGCTCAGAGCACTGCTAGTATCCACAGCTGATAAACTGGAGGGACTTCCAGATGGGCTGTGAGAATGACTACATGACTACCATGTCTAATAAGGGAAGAATTAGGCTGAGATTGGAGAAAGTTGAAAAATATGTTTCCTGTACCTTTGTATGGGATAGAGAAATTTTAGAAGTTGTTGTTATATGAAGCAGACAGAATTGTAATATGCAAGGATGAAGAACAAGTGAGTCAAATTCAGAATTGAAGCAAGCAGCAAAAGTTATTCCTATGCCAGTTTCTTTACTGCTTAATTAATCATAATTGGCAATGGTTTCCCCATGAATTGAAAAATTTACATACTGTTCCTAAAAAGAATTAATTAGAGTCTGCAGTTTAAAAATTGCTCTATATAGCCATAGCTGTCACTTCTAACTTTATAATCATTAACCAGCTATACGTGGAAATGAAATACAGTTAT